GCAGAAGCAACGTGGGAGCAACTCTGAAAAGCAGCACTTAAGCCCGTCTGACATTACAGGGAAGGCTTCATTGAGTAACATCTGATATGAGTCTTAAAAGGATGAGAAAGAAATGGGTTTAGGGTTTACGAGTGAAAGGAGAAAGGTAGGGAAGGGTATTCCAGGCAGAAAAGTCTGCATGAGTAGAAGTATGGAGGCAAGAAACAGCATGATATAAGCAAATGATAAACAATCATTAGACAGCATATCAGGAATTACAAACTCAAATACTCAATCAAGTTCATTCACTCAGCCAAAATTTGTTGAGTATATTTCAGATAAGGAGCCCTGGTGGAGGACTGGCCAAGCACTCGGCTGCTAATCGAAAGGTCGGCAGTTTGAACCCACCAGAAAGATGTGGCAGAATGCTTCCGTAAAGATTAAACCCATTGCTGTTGAGTCGATTCCGACTTATAGCGACCCTACAGGACAGAGTAGAACTGCTCTATAGGGTTTCCAAGGAGCAGCTAGTGGATTTGAACTGCCAACCTTCTGGTTAGTAGATGAGCTCTTAACCACTGAGCCATCAGGGCTCCAGCCTTGGAAACCCTATGGGATCTTCACGCCTTCCCGATATGTTCAAGTTGACACTGCTCAATTCAAATCATATCTACTTACAACAAATATATTTTTTTACACTAATTTTTGTTGTTTCTCTGCACATTTAGGTTTTTGACACCATTAATGTCTGTTTTCTGTTCCAGGAGCCAATCTAGGCTAACACATTACATTTAGAACTTTACATTTTAATACAACTTACATATTTTTTAAAAATATCACTCTAGCTGTTGTATGAGAATAGAATGGAGGGAGGCAAGGGTTGAAGAAAACAGGGAGATAAGTTAGAACACCTATTGTAAGCCAAGCAAGAAATGATAGAGGCTAATAGAAATCTAAGGAAGACATGATCACAGGAGTACATGGCAGGAAATGGTCAGATTCTAGACATAGTTTACAGAGAGAGCCAAGAGAATTTGCTCATGGATTTGATGGAGTATAATAGGAATCAAGGATGACCCCAAAGATTTAACTCTGAATAACTAGCTGTATAGGGTTGCCACCAATTGAGACGAGAAAGAATGGGACAGCTTTAGGGCAAAACGAGTTCAGTTTGGGACATTTGAGTTTGAGATCTCTTTTAGACGTAGAGGTAGTTATCCACCTCTGCATCTCAAGCAGAGATGTTAAGGTAGACAACTGGATATGAAAGTCTGGAGCTCGAAAAGAATGGGAGCTAGGAATATAAATGTGAGAATCATCGGTATACAGATGGTATTTAAAGCCATGAGGCTTGATGATATTATCAAGAGGAAGTATAAACAGAAGGGAAGAACAGACCAAAGATTAAGCCTTGAAATATTTCAACAAAAAGAGATCAGGAAGAACAGAAGGATCCAGCAGAGGAGGCTGATAAGAAACAATAAATGAGGTAGAAGGAAAACCAAGAGAGTGTGGTGTCCTGGAAATTAAGTGAAGAACATAGAGTGAAACTTGTCAAGAGCAGGAACTCAATGGGATGCCTTGTTTTTCCAAGTCTCGGAAGTTTTCCACCTTTGACAGCATGCAGTCTTACCGCTTTTCTATAGTTCTCTATTACTGGAAAATATTTGAGTTGTCCTTCTCTGAAAGGTTTCTGCCTTACACAGGTTCCGGCTTTTGCAGGTTTTACTGCATAACATTGAAAAGGGAGTAATCATCTGTGTCAAAGGTGGCTGATAGGTCAAATACCTTGAGGCCTAAGAATGACCACCACGTAGAGATCACTCCTGATACTAACAAAAGCAGTCTTGGTGGAGTATGAGGGCAATAGCTGTACCCGAGTGAGTTTAGTAATAGAAAAAGAATTGGGATATGGGAAATAGACAACTCGTTAAACTCCTTGGAGGATTTTTGTTGCAGAAAGGAACAAATAAATGGGGTTGGAAGTAGAGTTAAGGGAAGTATTTCTTATGGTGAGAGAAATAGCATGCAGGCCAAGCAAAACTTTTGTGGGTCTTAATTTGAAAGCAATGGGGAAAGAGAATGTGAGAACAAAAAAAAAAAAAAAAAAAAAAAACAAATGACTGGAATACAAAGAATCTTACTTAACCTCAGGATTAAGATGAAGGCTGGTTGAGGACCAGAGAAAACAAACAGCTCAGCAGGCAATGTCTTTCAACATACGGGAGTGTTAGTGAATAAAAAAAGGCAAATAATGTAAAGGGAAACTATCACCATCAATATTATCATTAATACTAGACACAAGTAAGAAGAGAACAAGGGAGAACGTGGTTTGCAATACCAATTTAATTTTAAAACTCTGTACTGAGTACCTAATACATACAAAGCCAGGGTATTTTCAATCACCTCATATGCATGCAAAAGCTGGACAATGAATAAGGAAAACCGAAGAAGAATTGATGCCTTTGAATTTTGGCATTGACAAAGAATATTTAATATACCATGAACTGCCAGAAGAACAAACAAATCTGCCTTGGAAGAAGTACAGCCAGAACGCTCCTCAGAAGCTAGGATAGCGAGACTTAGTCTCACGTACTTTGGACATGTTATCAGGAGGGACCGGTTCCTGGAGAAGGACATCATGCTTGGTAGAGGGTCAGTGAAAAAGAAGACGACCCTCAATAAAATGGAATGATACAGTTCCTCCAACAACAATGTGTTCAAGCATAGCAACCACCACTGGATAGCCCAGGACTGGGCCATGTTTCGTTCTCTCGTGGATAGGGTCACTATGGGTGGGAACCAACTGGACAGTACCTAACAACATATTTCCATCATCATCGCTTCCCTCAAGCTTCTAATTTAGTGAAGGAGAACCATGCACACATTAACAACCAAGACTTCCTGCACGCTTACTGCATGCTAAACACTTGGCTAGATGATTTACTGAATTAACTCTCTTAATCCTCACACCACTGTGCACTGTCTCACGGAAAATATAAATATGCACTATGTTTACAAATAATTCTAGGAAGCCATGAACTCAAAGTGGGAAGTACTCTCCTAGATGCGAGAGACAATAATTTTTTAACAAAGGAATAATGCAGTCTGATTTGCTTTTTAGGAAGAAAATAATCAAAGACGGTTTGCAATGAGAATCCAGAGCTGAGCTACAGAAAGAAGACTTTTGAGACAGTTAAAGTGATATAAATTAGTACTTAAACTAGGTCTTTGGCAGCAAAAAAACAAAAGCAGGGAGTTTATGTGCTTAATGATCACACAGCTCAATCACAGACTCCCCAGCGATCTTACCAGATGTCAGATTAACTTTGCTGTTTTACAAGAATGTAATAAACACTATACATGTATGTTCAACCTCATCTGTTGACATTTATATTTCTCTATGGATAACTTAAAAAAAGTTACTACAAACATTGTTTTGTATTATTTTGAAGCTGAGGTATATGAGAGCCCACAGCCTAAACTATAGTCCATAAAAATAATAAGCACATCAACTGTCATCTCCAACAACTTCAGTTTCCTGATGATCTTCACAGGTAACTTGAAACACAGCTCCATACAGAAGTACCATATTCCTACACAAATAAGGCACACCTTGAACGTTTGTTTGTCAACTGCCGCCACCCCCACCCCCACCAAGGTATCTTCCTAAGCACCCTAATTTTTTTACAGCAGCATGTAAAAAAAAAAAAAAATTGGCGTAGCAGCCCTTATGAAAATACCTTGTGGGGGGGAGGGTGTAGTTGGCAAACAAACATGGAAGGTGCATGTTATTTGCATAAAATACGGTAATACTCTGAAGTGTCCACAAAGATGAAGACAATCCTCACAGAAAAGCCAATGTCCGTTATGCCTACAGACACATTTACTACTCTAAAAGCCAGGCTTGATGAGTTGCAAAACATAATTTCCGTAACTAAGCAAAGTTTAACATGAATGGCAAGAGTTTTAACGTATAATATAAAGCACTTACAATAAAGAGGCAGATTTTTGGGGTTTTTTTGGTTTGGGGGAAGGTACTGTACATTTTTATACATTTCTCATTCCTTTCTTCCTCATTAAATTGAGGCCATCTTTACCCTTTTACTATACTCTCATGATGCCTTGAATAAAGCTGGTGCTCAATAAACACTTGCTAATTTGTATATCTATCACCTGTCTGTCAGTTTGTCATACTATGGTGGCTTGAGTGTCGCTGGGGCTAGCAATGCAGTAGTTAAGCATTTGGCTACTAATTAAAAGGTCAGCAGTTCGAATCCACCAGCCGCTCCTTGGAAACGCTATGGGGCAGTTCTACAGTTCTACTCTCTCCTATAGGGTCACTGAGTCAGAATTTGTTGGATGACTTTTTTTTTTCTTTATTATTGATATGCCTTGAATACCAATTCATGCAAGGAAACATCAATCTTCGTTTTTTTTTTTTTTTTTTTTGACTGTTGCTGTGATACTGGAAGCTATGCCACTGGTATAGGGTGACCCATGGTGGGCAGGTCTCAGCAGAGCTTCCAGACTAAGACAGTCTAGGAAGAAAGGCCTGACCATCTACTTCTGAAAATTTGCCAATGAAAATCCTATGGATCACAAAAGAATATTGTCCAGTACAGTGCCATGAGTCTCCTAGGTTGGAAGGCACTCAAAACACACAGTGGCCAGGAAGAATGGACTGGAATATATCAAGGATAGGGAAGATGGTGCAGAACCTGGCAAAGTTTCATTGTTACACATGGGGTCACCATGAGTAGAAGCCAACTAAATAGCAACGAATAAATTTGTATATGTGACCAATTCTTGACAATTCAGGATAATGGATTCAGAAACCAAGCTAGTTATGGTAAAAAATAAATAAACAAAACAAAAATTTAAGTGTGCAGTTGTAAACAATGTAACCACTGATAGCAAAAACCCCAAGTGCTCTAATTTTACTGCCCTAAATATAGTAGGGTCTCATAGTTTGGCACAGTAGAGCTTATAAATGAATATCTCATGAGACACTGACTCACCTTCCGAGTCAATAGAAAAATTGGTCTTAGAAGAACCCTCCGCTGCCTGATACTCTGTGCCTCTGCCTTTTGAATAATTCCAAGAACTATGCAACCGTGAATAGGTTAAGGTCTTCTCTATCTAAAAACTACCAAAAGAAAAAACAGGGTGGGGGAAGGGAGCATCGCCTACTAGAATTATTAAAATTAAAGGAAGCTTAAAAATACTATTACTGATGAAAAAGCATGATAACTTCTCTACAGTAACTAATCAATTACTGTACTCAGGAAAGGTCAGTTCCTTTCCACTTATTATTACAGAAAGTCCTTTCCTGGCCCCAAGGGTTTCAGCCCCAGATGGAATACAACCCTTGCACATTTGGCAAAAAGCTCGCAGGGAGGGATAGAAGGCGGGTGTTAGGGGGTTGATCAAATAGCCTACTCCATACAGCCCTCCAGATTTAACTGGCCTCCTTGGTTAGCCACAACGAATCCAAAGCATTTCAAAAGCGCTTTACATGCCCAGGATTCCCTCAGGTGCCAGGAGAAACCAAAAAGCAAGCCCAACAGGTGCATGCCTAGCGGATGAAGACGGGGAACCCTGGCGGCCCAGCGACCCCACAAGCGGAACGCCAAGAGCCACACACTGAGGGGGATCCGAGCCAGGTAAACTCCGTACACTGCGGAGGTCCTGAGGAAAAATCACACGGAACTATAACAACACCATCAACACTGCGCATTACTATTACTTAAACGCAGCACCCACTTCCGAACCCTACCTCTCGGTCACTCCACTTCCGGTCTTCTCCAAAACGGCCTCTCCCCTAGATAGATGTCCTGCAGCCAATGAGAGCGCCAGTGCCTTCGCAGGGCCGCTTGACTTTTCCTAAGTCCCACCTCTTCCGGAAGAAAGGAGCCTATCCTGGCGTCTGAACCGCGCGGCCCGAGAGGAGGTGCTTTGTCAGGCCCAACCGGACGGCGGGAGAGAGCGAGAAGGGCGGGAGGAGCGTGCAAGCCTTTTCCGCCCTGGGCCCGGAAGGGTGATGTGGCTGGGGCTTCGCCGGCCTCACTATGGTAAGAGTCGGGGTTATGGGGTCGCGGCTGAGCTTCGCAAAGGGGCTCAGGCCCAAGCTGGAGCTGGAGGGTGGGGTAGTGACCCTGGGTACGCGGGCCAGGGAGCCGTCTTTAGTCTGACTCTCCGGGGGTTCGGAGGATGCACAGGCCCCGGAGCCATGTGGTCCCTGCACGTCCATCCAGGAAATCTGAGCCTGTGGTTCAAGGAGTACCCCGGGTTTCGGAGCCTGCCTCTCCTGCAGGGGGCCACTTTCCTGCATTGTTTGAAAGAAATCCGCTGGTTTGGTTTAAGCCATCGGTCCCATAGGTTCTCTGTGGTCATTGATCCTTTGAGGCATTCGAGTTTCTCGAGTTTACTCATTTGTTTCGTTTTGTTTTTTAATTTTTCTGTTTTTTGCGCCTCCTTATCTCTGTTTCTGAGCCTGACCGGTGTTGTTTATTTGACCGTTGTTTCATTCCACAAACTCCACACCTTCATTCTCTCATATTAAATCAGTGGCCTTTTCAGACCCCTCCCACTCCATTCTCTTAACCTTAAAGATGCTACTTAACAAACTGTAGCTCTTAATGATTGGAATTCTCTGCAGAGGTGTTTTTCTCTTCTACAAGCTTAATGTACTTGAAGTGGTTGCTCTGGCTTCCGACCCTCTTCCTCTACAGCCCCCGCCCCCCGAGACGTATTATTTTGTGATAGTGCAGATTTTTTTGATAGTTGAGGTGTCAGAAAATCTTGAACTGTAAATTTATAAAAGTTCTCAAAAAAGGCTTATCTCCCCAGGCTGAGAAGAACAGGTAAAGCAGCTTGGCCCGAGGACAGAGGTAATAGGTGGTTGTTTTGTTGTTGGTAGGTGCAGGTCAGTCGGTTCCGACTCATAGCGACCCCAAACACTGCCAAGTCCTGCACCATCCTGAGAATAGTTGCTGTGTTTGAGCCCATTATTGCAGCCACTGTGTCAGTCCATCTCGTCTTCCTCTTTTCCGCTGATCTCTACTAAGCATAAGGTCCTTCTTCAGGGAATATTCCTTCCTGATAACATGTCCAAAGTACGGAAGAGAAAGTCTCGCCACAGAGGCGTATTTTGTTACGGTAAATGTCAACCGCCTATCGTTTGAATTTATGACGTCCATGTGCTAAATATTGCATATATGAACATATTTTCGAGGAAGGAAACATGCTTTTTATTATATACTGTAAAGTAGCTATGACCCCAAAAAAGCTAAGGCTCACTATTACAGGTGAAAAGTTGCTAAGCTTGTGTTCCCAGAAATTCCTCCAGAATCATATTAAATCCATATAAAACCCTTAGACATTGAGTCAAAAACTCACTAATTGTTGCCTGCTTTGTGCTGGGTACTTTGCTTATGGCTGGAGCATAAGTTCCAGTCTCTTCCTTAGAGAAGTTTACCACCTGCTAAGAGGAAATGGTCGATTTTTGGTAGGTTATTCCTTCTCTGGCTAAGGAAATTATTCTCCATTTCACCCGCTTTCCCCACCTCCCACATGATAGATTCTGTTACTTAGAAAATTTGATTCCTTTTGAATTTAGAAGGAGCAGGGAGACTTGGGCATAATTCTTGCATAATCTTCCTAGAAGCTGAATTATTTTACTTACAGTACAAGATAAAGATATACTCCTCTTTTCGTTGTCTTACTGTCATACGTACTAGTTAAAAGCATGACATGTTCTGTGTTTAAGATCAGTATTTAAACTGTCTTGCCATGCTTTTCCAAAAGTGAAAATAATAACTTTCATTTATTGAGCACTTGCTATGTGCCAGGCACAGCACTAAAAAGCAGTTTATATACTTTGTCTTATTTCAGGCTCACAACAACTTTTGAGGAGGTGTTTACAGGTAAAGGAAGTGAGGCACAGAGACTGGCTTGCCTGAGATCACACACCTAGCAGGTAGTGAAGCCAGGACTCAAATTTATTTTTAGGTCCGTATGCCAGAAATCTTCATGCCGTTGTCAACAGACTAATGACGTAACTGAGGATGAAATATGTCTTAGTGATTTATTACTCTCAGATATAAAATACGGATGATGGAATACTGCCAAGTGATTAATTTTTCTTTCTTGCTCTGTTCTTGTGAACTTGGGATGTCAGTATTTTAGAGAAGGTGGATTATAGTTGAAAGAACTACACAATGAGGCTTCAAAGATAGTTTAGCATTTAAAAAAATGAATTAGTGTCTCAGTGTTTTTGAGTTTGCACCTAGACTTAGTATGTTTGAGGTACCCCAATGATAATGACTTAAATGTGAATTTTTTAAAGAATTTCAGAATACCCATCCTCTCTTAACTCCTAGCATCCTTCAAGATTCACCTCAAGTCTCATCTCCCAAGAATGCTTCCCTGACCCCTTCCCTTTTCTTCTCTTTTTAGGTCAGGGCTTCTAACCCATTCTTCTGGTTTGAACCCCTGCTGAGAATTTGTGTTTCTAACAAGGTCCCAGGAAGTTATACATAAGATCACCTGGGGATCTTGTTAAAATGTAGATTCTGACTCAGTATATCTGGGGTGAAAATGCAAATTCTCGGCAGGGGTTCGAACGGGAACAAACCGATTCCAAGCCCTGTTTTAGGTATTCATCTGGATATTCCTAGTCCATGTGTATTCCTCCAGTATCCCTCTAACTTGACGCACAGAAAACAGCAACAGAGTGTGGCGTATATTGACCCTTCTCGAGATGGAGTTCTTAAGAGACCATGTCTTTTACTCTCTACACCCACAGTGCCAGTTAGAGTTACCCTTTGCCATAGCGTCAATTCTGTAGAACTGCCTGATAGGGTTTCCAAGGCTGTAAATCTCTACAGAAGCCAACTGCCACACAGCTGCTGGTAGTTTCATACCACTGACCTTTTGGTTAGCAGTTGATCACTTTAACCACTGCACCACCAGAACTCCTACTGTGCCACCAGCCCACTGCTGTTGCATCGATTCTGATTCATAGTGACCCTGTAGGGCAGAGTAGAACTCCCCATAGGGTTTCCAAGAAGCAGCTGGTGGATTTAAACTGCCAACCTTTTGGTTTGCAGCCAAGCTCTTAACCGCTCTGCCACCGGGGCTCCGCAATTAGAGTTATTAAGTGCCGTTGAGTCGGTTCTGACTCATAGCAACCCTATAAGACAGTAGAATTGCCCCCATAGGATTTCCGAGGAGCAGCTGATGGATTTGAACTGCTGACCTTTTGGTTAGCAGCCGAGCTCTTAACCACTATGCCACCAGGGCTCCATAATTAGAGTTAGTACTCGTTAAGTGAGTGAGAGTCTGGGGATATAAAGATGATTAAAACATGTTCACTGCCTTTGAGGACTTCACAGTCCAGAGAGTGAAATTATTATTATTGTACTTTAGGTGAAAGTTTACAGAGCAAACTAGTTTCTCATTAAACAATTAATACACATATTGTTTTGTAACATTGCTTGCCAACCCTACATGTCAACACTCTCCCCTCTCAACCTTGGGTTCCTTATTACCAGCTTTCCTGTCCCCTCCTGCCTTCTTGTCCCTGGCTGGTGTGCCCGTTTAGTCTCATTTTGTTTTATGGGCCTATCTAATCTTTGGCTGAAGGGTGAACCTCAGTAGTGACTTCAGTACTGAGCTATAAGGGTATCTGGGTGCCATACTCTTGGGGTTTCTCCAGTCTGTCAGACTAGTAAGTCTGGTCTCTCTTTGTGTGTGTGTGAGTTAGAATTTTATTCTGCATTTTTCTCCTGCCTTGTCCAGGATCCTCCATTTGATCCCTGTTAGAGCAGTTGGTGATGGTAGGCAGGCACTATCTTGTTGTGCTGGACTCAGTCTGGTGGAGGCTGTGGTAGCTGTGGTCCGTTAGTCCTTTGGACTAATCTTTCCCTTTTGTCTTTGGTTTTCTTCATTCTCCCTTGCTCCAGACAGGTGAGACTAATGAAGTATCTTAGATGGCTACTTACAAGCTTTTAAGACCCCAGATGCTACGCACCAAGGTAGAATGAAGAGCATTTTCATTATAAATTATATTATGCCAGTTGAGCTAGATGTTCCCCAAGACCATGGTCCCCCACTGCCCTCAGCCTAGTAATTTGGTCCCTCAGGGAGTTAGGATGTGTCCATGGAGCTTCCGTGACCTTGCCTTGGACAAATTGTGCTGGCTTCCCCAATAACATGTACTGTCTTAACCCTTCACAAAAGTTACCACTTATCTATTGTCTATTTAGTGTTTTTCCCTCCCCACCTCTCTCCTCCCTCATAACCATCAAAGAATGTTTCTTTTTGTGTGTAAAGCTTTTCATGAGTTTTTATAGTAGTGGTTTCATACAATATTTGCCCCTTTGTGATTGACTTATTTCACTCATCATAACGCCCTCCAGATTCATCCGTGTCATGAGATGCTTCGCAGATTCATCATTATTCTTTATCATTGCATAGTATTCCATTGTGTGTATCTACCACAATTTGTTTATCCACTCATCTGCTGATGGGCACCTAGGTTGTTTCCATCTTTTTTGCTATTGTGAATAATGCTGCAGTGAACATGGGTGTGCATATGTCTATTCATGTGACAGCTCTTATTTCTCTGGGATATATTCCTAGGAGTGGGGGGGGGGCATTATTAAATAAGTAAATTTTATGTATTATCTGCCATAAGGTAGAGAGAGACCATTTGTAGTAGAAAGAGCATGGGCCTTAGGCTGAGCCAAATACAGTTAGAATTATTCCCAGTTCCCATCTTTTACTTGATTAACTTTGAGAAAGTTTATTTTTGTTTCTTCCTCTGTTGGTGTGTAAGTTATATTCTCACTTAATGCTCACAAACCCTGCAAATTAGAAACTATTGCCCACATTTTAGAGTTAAACCAGGTATGGGAGAAAGAATGTGAAATCTTTTCCTTCATCTTGTAGCAGAGGTATAACGAACATGTGCTAGAAGCACAGAGGAAGGAGTAGTTCTGGCTGGGAACTGCAGGGGAGACAGCCCAAAGGAGGAAACAATCTGACCTGAATATAAAAGAGCAAGTAG